TTCCTTCCTTCCTTCCTTCCTTCCTTCCTTCCTTCCTTCCTTCCTTCCTCCCTCCCTCCCTCCCTTCTTCCCTTTCTTTTCTTTTCCTTCCCTTTCTTGCTTTCTTTGTGACAGAGACAGAGACAGAGAGAGAGAGAGAGAGAAAGAGGGAAAGTCCAAGAGCATGCATAGGAGGGGCAGACAGAAACGTAGACATCGGATCCCAAGAAGACTCCACACAGTCAGCACAGAGCTGGACGTGGGTCTCAATCCCACGAGCTGTGGGATCATGACCTGAGCTGAAACGAAGAATCAGACACTTAAACTGACTGAGCCACCCAGGTGCCGCTCAAAGCCTCTTTATGCTTCATCATGCGATGGAATTCAGGACCTCCAAGAGCTGCTGGCAGGAACTGGACTCTATGAGCCACCAGTGTTCCGGGTAGATGCTTCCTTCGCTCCTTTTAAGAAAACTCACATTTGTATCTGACAACTCTCTCTACTGACCTGAGATAGTCTTCCTCAGACTAAAGTCTCAAATCCTTGACAAGTGTGATAAAAAACTGAGGAGATTCTTGGCCTGCCAGCTCTGCCTGGGGCCTTCTAGCTCTGAGAGAAGGCAGGGGCTGCTCCCTCTGGAACAGCCAACACTCTGGAACGCTGCTTTCCCCTTTCACCAGTCCTGACTCACGGGTATCCTCCCAAAGGCCCTTGTCACTTCCAATAAGGGCTTCTTGGGAAACGCCACATCCCTGAAAACTGTCGAGCAGTTTCCCTACTCCAAACCTTGCAAAGAATGGGTCCTTGTCCTTCTCTTTCCTGTACAGGCTTAAGGTCTCATGTAACCACTGTTCTCATAGATTTGCTTTTTGTAGGGAAGATCCTGAGTCAAATAATTTTTTGAGTCCCTGATCTTTTAAGGTTATCTGAAATCACATATGCAGATGATCCTATTGCCTGCAAAAATCATCTTTTTTCCCCTTATTCATACCCCACATTGATTTTAATACTATTATTGTTCTAGTATGTCATAATATACCTGGTACGGAGTAGTTGGTTGCCCCATTCCTCATGCGGAGTTCTCACCTTGACACCGTCACGGCTGGGATTCCACTTAATAGCCAGCCTATAAAACCAAGGCCCTAGTTTCCTTGATTCCCTCCAGGCAGAAGGCGGAGGTAGGGGGCACGTGAGCGTGGCAGCTCTCGCCTGTGCCTCCTAGGCTAGCAGCAGAGAAGGGGTTAGGTGCAGCCCTGTCAGATGTGGGTGGGGGGACCCCCATGTCCCCACACAGCATCTTCACTCTGACCCTCTATCCTTCCTGGAACCCCACCCTCTCTGCTAATTTGAAGATACAGCCATCAGACAAAGGTCTCAACTTTCTGGGACCGGAGTTGAAAAATCAATGTTAGCCACAAGCCGCCACGACTCTTCTGGACTCACAGAGCTGACAGTGGGACAGGATTTTATGGGATCCTACTGTTCTGGCTAGGTCCTTCCACCACCCTCATTCAGGTTTATCTCCATTACATCTATGAGAGACCAATACCCCTTCTCTAGTGATAGGAGAACTTGGGTCTCAGACCAAGGTTTTTACGCCAGTGAAAAAGCCTGCAGAATAAGGGAGGGTATGCTAAGTCTAACAACTGTGTCTGAGACTTTGTGTGTTCAAGAACAGACGGGACCGAAGTCCCTGGCATTCCCTATATTCTGGGGCATTGGTCTCCCCAGTCCTCCTACATGGGGCCCTTGCCTCGGTTTCCATCTCTTGGATTTAAGGCTTCCTGGGAAATTGCACATCTCTGCAAACGCTGGAGCAGTTGGTGCTTTACAATCCTCGCAGAGAATGCGACTCTGTCCTGGGAGTGATGTGAAATGGGCAAGCGCTAGCACAAGGCAGGAGTCCCAGGACAGGTGATGGGGTGTCAGGGGAAAACACACATTGATCTATTCCTTCTGTTTATCAGCCTGATGAAGATTCTCATGTAACTTCTGTTCTGCTAGATTTCCTTTCTACCGGTAAGAGATTGTCCAGGCTAATTTTGAGAGCCACTGATGTTTTGAGATTATTTAGCATTGCAAATGTAATCATACTGTCACCTAATAGTGTCCTTTATTTATCCCTTACAGCTATTCTGGCATTCTTTTTGCTCTGGCTATATATTGCAGCCCAGCAGTTTGGACACAAGGCCATTCTTTTTTAGCACCTAAGACGAATTTTGAAGTACTGAAAAGAAAACTGAAATAAACACAGGGTGTGTCCCAGGGTGCGAGGAGTAAAACAATGTAGCCTCTGTAGTAATTCTGGCGGGGGGGTCCTAGGCCCAGCCTTGTCATTTACTAGCCCTATGCCTTTTGGCACGCTGCCAAACTCTAATTCTATGCGCCTCAGGCTTCCCCTGTGAAGTAGGTTTGATAAACCCTATCTTTTAGGGCTGTCTAATGTACAGAAAGCATCTATACTGAGACATTTGGGAATGGCAGGTATTACTATGATTATCTTGACCTCAGACATTACCATCTGTGCAGGTGAATTTTGTTTTGTTTCATTTTACATCTAAGACATGTCAGAAAATATGCAGTGCTCTGGCCAAGAAAAACCTCCCCATCAGCCAAAATTCTGCTTAGAAATGAAAACTAAGTAGTATGTTCTCTCGGCCCCCTCTTTACCAAGATTTTCACTTGTTCTTTTTTTTTAAATGTTTATTTTTGAGAGAGAGCGAGCGAGCACGTGAGATAGAGAGAGAGCCAGTGGGGGAGGGGCAGAGAGAGAGGGAGACACAAAAACCCAAAGCAGGCTCCAGGCTCTGAGCTGTCAGCACAGAGACCAATGTGGGGATCGAACCCACCAACCGCAAGATCATGACCTGAGCCGAAGCCAAATGCTTAACTGACTGAGCCACGCAGGTGTCCCTTCCCTTGTTCTTTATGGAGTACTACTATCTCACCTTCTTCCCATAGTGACAGCTGCTCCTATAATCTATAATCGCAGGGGCAGGGGCTGGGTCTTCTTTGACTAAACACCCCCAGTACAAGGATGAAGACTTCCCAAGAGCAGTTGCTCAACGTTTGTGTAAAATAAGAGACATGTATAAAGAGGTTTGATTCATTATGATCATATATTGTCAAACATTCTTAACAAACATAAACAAATGCAGGTATATGTCTTTTAAATTTAGAAAAAGAATAGAGTAAGGCAAACAGAGAATTAGCCAATTATTACTGTATCAATGTACCTATCTGCGTATCTATGTAATCTATGTATCTGTGTACCTATGTACCTATCCATCTATCTACGAATCTAGGTTTCTGTGTATCTAGTTATCTATCTATCTATCGATCGATCGATCGATCTTCTCATCCTATTTTAGTGTGGAATTCTTTCACATTTCCAAGGATATCCTATCTTAAAGCCATCTTATCTTGCTCTGGATCACAAAAGTGATTTAACAATTTCTGATCTGTATTTCAAAAAAAATGAACTCTTACACCTAAAACTGATAAACAGCAATAAATGTGTGATCAGTGTCATCCAAAAACTTATATTCTGAATCTACATAAACTTTCTATTGAAAGGAACAGTGCCTGAAGAATATATTTAAAAAAAGGTAATCAACAAATTATTTGTGCCCATGACAAACACTACTTAACAGGCCTTCCCATGACAAAGCGAAGAATCTGCCTCAGCCCTCTCTAGGAAGAAGAGTGGCCAGATGTGGCCTGGGAACATGCAGTGGCCTTGGCAGTAGAGGCATGCTTGGTTGCAGCTCTGGCTTGGGCTCTCTCTTCCTCATCTCGCAGAGCCTCTTCATAATGGGGCAGGAAGGCACTGGGGATGGTATCGTGGACCTTGGCCAAAAACTCGAGGACTTTCCTCTTGCTGGTTTCAGCATGGGCTCTGGGGCCCCATAGGAACTGAAAGCGTGGAGGATTGCTGCCGGGCACCTGGCGGTACTCCAGGTACTTTTCCTGCACGAAATCTTGGGTGATGAGCTTCCTGGGCTCCCCGAAGATGAAGTGCCTCCTTCCATCATAGATGCCCAAAATATTCAGGAATTCCCAGATCTGCTCCTCAGAGGTGCAGTTGCCATCCAAGAAGATGACACCTAGGAGAGGCATGAGAAGCCCATTCTTCGGAAAGCCCCAGAGATTATTCATAGTGCCATCGTCGGTGAGGTCTAGGTTGCTGGTGAGGGTGTAGGAGTTACTGCCAGGCTTGACTTCCTTTAATTTGAGGCCAAAGACCAGATCCATGCGCTCAGTGGCTCTCCTGAGGATCTCAGCGAACTGCTCCCTGTTCCTTTTGTGGACGATCTTCATCATGTCTATCTTCTTAATGGGCTCCTTCAATTTATACTTATACAGCAGAAACTGTACCAACATCCCCACCTTCCCGCTTAGAGGATCGTTTTGAGCTTTCCCGGTGGAAGTTGAGGCCAGAGAGGAATTTTTACTTTCCTCAACCTGGCTCTTGGCACCTGCCTTAGATCTTCGCCGTGAAGCACGTGCAGCAGCCCTGGTGGTGGCTGGGGCTTTTTGAGGCTCCTGGGAAGTGCCAGCAATAGGGGAGCTTGAGGAAGCACCCCCAAGAACAGGAGAGGAGGAAGGAGTAGCCTCTTCTTCCTCTGCTGTAGCTGCCTGAGCACTCTTAAGACCTTGGGTCTCGGCTCTGTTAAGGCGGCGTTTCTCACGAGCACGGAGCTTACTCTTCTGACCACGAGGCATAATGGCTGTGCTCAGGGATAGCAGGCAAGGGTGTGAGCCAGTGGACAGGTGATATGGGCAACTGCAGAAGCGAGAATAAGATGATGTTATCACCTTCAACAGGTAGATTCCACTTTGGATTTATCAAAGGTGACCTCGGCAGGATACTTGAGGATACTGCTCTAGGACCCGACAAAGGCTCCTGTTCTCTTGGTCATCCTATCCCCTAAGAATCTTACAGAGAACCACAGAACCCTCACAGTGAGTCTTATTTGCATCCTACTAGCCCTGCCTCGGGTTTACTGAGGTGAGAGCAGATGTTTGCAGTAGAGGCCTCTGTGTTCTGGCATGTTGGGCCCTCTCCATTTATCTTTAGTGTTATCATATCAAGTCTTGGCAGAGATGGGGCACCCTTCCCTCTGCTACCTGTTATTTCACACCTCAAAGCTCCCAGGGACCCAGGAGAAGGAAGTGAAGGGGCACCTCAGTCTACTTCCCTGCCCAGTGCTGAGAGCTCAGCAGGGTCCATTCTGTCCTGAGTTCACTGGGATCCTCAGCCTCATTTAAGGCCTTCACTTTGGTTCCTTAAAAGGCTCAGAACCACTCTCCCTTGTTAACTTTGGTTTAACCTTCAGGCTAAGAATATCACCTCCTTTAGACCTGATATAAAGAAGTCAGGGGATGCTCAACATGAAGGCTCTCCCCTGAGGATTCTTGGGCTGAAATCAAAGGGTTAAGATGGATGCTCTGATGTCCCCTCTATTCAGGATTGGATGATCCCTAGAGTCCTCATATTAAGAGCATAAGTTCCAAGAGGAAGAAGCGAAGACAACCTTAACTGACCAAACATGGTCTCTCAAGAGTAAAAGCTACTGCAGGCAGGTTGATGCCCTATGGCAGGTGGTCCTCCATAGGATCCCAACTCAAGGTCTAAATCTGGCTCACAACAGGGTCTAAGATTTCTGCCTCTGCTGATCTAGAACCACTCCCCTTGGACCAAGACTCTCACTTTCCTGTTACCATGGAGTGGAAACTGATGAGCACTTCATATGGCATCTACCTTGGAGGGCTCCCAGAGATAATACTAGGCAGGACTTTATTTATTTATTGCTTTTGCAAGAGTAAGGAAGAAGGAGGGGGGAGGAGCAGAGAGAAAGAATCCAAGCAGGCTCTGGGCCATGAGTGCAGAGACGCACGCAGGGCTCCAACTCATGAACCATGACATGTGGCATGACCCCATATCCTCCCTCTGCTGGCCTGAGGCTGCCCCCTTTGACCTGGTTCTTCACTTCCCTGAGATGTTCTGGGAAGAAGTGAGTGTAATGTATCATGTCACCATGCCCAAGTTTCCCAAGTGTGAAAACAGGGTTTGGGCTTCATGCGGCCCCCTTCTTTCCTGGAGGGATTCCCCCATCATCACTCAGTACCACAACGTCGATTCCTGTTTAGGGACTGGGATCCTTTCGCTGAATGGGGCTTATGCCATTAGATACAGGCCGTCACTTCCCTGAGATCACCACCTCGAGAGGAAATGAGGGGGCACCTCAGCTTGCCAGCTCTGCCCCGGGCCTCCTAGGCTGAGTATGCGAGCTGTCGGTATAACCCTGAATCCCCTTAGCTGCTAGAGAAGAAGGTAGCTCCCTCGCATCTGTCTACCCGGCATGGAGCCTCCTAGAGCTGAGTGCAGGGGTGCTTCCCAGAGTAGCCCCCTCTGTTGGGTCAAGGTCCGCTCGTTAGCACTCGGGGCCCTCATCTTGAATCTAGTTAGGACCGCCTCCCTCGGTAGTATCGGGACTACTCCCGAGACGGAGGCCTGGTCTCTGAGAACTTCTAGGCCGAATTCCGCCTCACATTCCGCCGGGACCGCCCGGAGCCGGGGCCAAACGGGCCCATGGCGGGGAGGGGTCCCCTCTGTTACAGGGGCGCGGGGAGTCGTCTCCTCGGGTCCCACCCGGCGTCCTCAACTCACTTTCAGCCCGGTCCCGGGAATCCGGCCGCCGCCGAACAAACGCCGCGCGCCCTCCGCCTTGAGGTCCGGGCCCGAAAGGAAGTCGGCGCAGCCGCATCCGGCCCTCGGCGGCGGCCGCCCGGGGTCTCCGAGGGCTGAAAGCAGGGGTGGGGCGCTCTAGGACCCCGCCGCCGAGAACTCGGTGGTCCCCGCGCGTCCTGGCCCAGGGTCCTCCCCACGTCCGTCAGGGCCTGGGGCTCCTCCCCCTGCCGGCCTCCAAAGTTCCACTCTCCTGACTTGCCAGAGGGGAATCTCTGGTCCCGCTGCACATGGCTACCCCTTCCTGGGCTGCACAAGCCTGGAAGCACCAACAGGGCCCTGGGAAGCTTTTTCTAAGGGAGTTTTTCCCTCATCAGCGGACGCAGGGTCCTCATCTTCAATTAAGGCCAGGACTCCTCCTGTGGCCAAACTGGGGCTGACGGAGAACTGATAGCTCTTCTGGGGCCTCCCGGGGCTAAGAATAGGGTGGAGATCTGTTTGACAGCCTCTGCTGGTAGGAGTATCCCTGCCTAATAGTCAGGGTCCTTACCATGACTCCTAAGGCCTGGGTTTTCTCTCTCTGCACATCTAGGGCTGTCCCCGCTAGCCCAAGATCCTCACCTATATGAGACACTCCAGGGAGAATGAGGGGGTTCTTCCACCTCACAATTCTGTCCTGGGCATCCCAGGACAGCACTGGGGGCATTTGTGGGGATATTCTGTTCTGGGGTGAGTGAGTCCCTCATTCTGATTCAGAGTCCTCACCCTGACACCTGACCAGTCTTGGAACTCCTTGTTGCACTGAGGCTGCTCCCATGAAGTCCAAGTATTCACCTTCTGGGGACCTCTGGCGTGGAAGTCAGAATAAGCCACATCCAGACATGCTGTTCTGGATTTCCTACAGTTGAGGACCTAAGCCAGGCTTCATGGAAGCCCACTGTTCTGGCTGAGTCCTTCCATCATTCCTCATTTGGGGTCCTCATGTCCGTACCTGCCATAGGCCGGGACTCCTCCTTCTACTGACCTGGGACTGTCTGTCTTGGGCCAAAATTCTTAAGTCCTTGAGTGGCCTGAAGAGTAAGTGAGGGGTATGCTCAGCCTGCCAGCTCTGTCTGAGGCCTCTGAGAGCAGGTGGCAGCCTACTGTGATCCCCCACATTCTGGGGTATTGGTCTCTCAGGCCCTCTAACCTCGGGCTATTCCTCTTGGCCCCGGCATCTTCGGTTAAAGGCTTTCCGGGAAATGTCACATCCTTGCAAGCCCATGAGCAGTTTCCGCTCTGCAAACCTTGGTCCCTGTCCTGGGAGTGACGGCAGTCCCAGGAAGGCGATGGTCTGTGAGGGGTGAAATATGCTGTTATTTTCCTTCTCTTCATCAGCAAGATTGAGTCTCATGTACATTCTGTTCATATAGATTTATACTCTCCAGGGAAGGGGCTGTCCAGGATGACTTTGAAAGCCCCTCATCTTTTAAGGCCATCTGAAGCTTCACGTATAGATGATCATACTGGCACTATGTATTCTTTTCTTTATTCATGCCTCTCATTTACTTGGGTATTCATACTACTCTGGGAATGTATTCCAACTGGGTGGTATGAGCACAGAGTCCTTCTTCTGGCCGCCTGAGATACATTTTTGTTTTTTAATGTTTATTCA